CTATTTGAGACCCATTAAATAGAATAAATCATAAGGCATCAAACAACCTGAATGATTTCAATCCTTCGAATCTCACAACAAAAATAAACAATGTGATGCACCAGTATCAAATAAAATTCTAACTAATTTATTTTGGATAGATAACGAACCTATAATAAGGAGAACATAAATTCCTAAAATAAAATAAAGAATGACAGAATTAAATAAATTGATATAAGTTCCCGTAAAAATGTTAGGATAATCATTCAGTTCTTGTTGATTCAGTGCATATACTCGATGTCACCCTAACGGGTCTGACAAGGAGATGGAGCTAATCCTGACAACTCAGTTGACCTCTGTTTGCCAAAAGTCCTCTACAGATGTAGAGCAGTAGTTCTGGTATCAACTTGGGGTCACTGGCTTAAGGTAGGGCAGGATCTCGCCGTGTCCTGACTGATGACACCAAAAATAGATGTTAGTGTATGATAAACATTCTCCTGTGTTTTCCCACACTTGACATAGGTTATGATAATGATATTGCTGTCATTACTACTACAACTGCCTTAGGTCTCTTCTAGTTGCATTGCCCAGATTTTGTGAAGCACAAAATTTGAGAACCAATTTTTTCAACAAATTTAAAATGTAAATATGAAACTTATTTGTTCTTTAATTCATCTTCCTTTTTCTGTAGAATATGTTATAAAAATGTCATTTCTTCATTGTGTAATATTTTGTAATTTTTCATTTGCATTTGTCATGGGCACATTTCTGATCACATCAATATTAAAAACCTGTTCGTCTTCGTTCATCCAAGAAGGTTGCTGTGGAAGCACTGAATCTTCTTTCTAAAAAATTCACTCAACATGAAATTCTATATCATTTATTAGTTTTGGATCAAAGTTTTGTTCTCTTCTTATACTTTTCTCCCTCAATTTAGTATTGTATCTTACACATACCAGAGCGTTCAACCTCTTGTGCTCACCTGTTCCTCTTATTATTATGAATCTAAGATAAAAAACATTATTTTTAAGAGATGAATATAAAAGAAAATAATAATAATTTTATCTTTTAAGAAATAAAAAAATTATTACCAATTTAAAAGTCTTCAAATTTCATGTGAGGCTAACAACTAAAATCGCAAAATTCGTTAACTCAGGTGTTTTCCCACCAAATCATATCCATCAATCAACAAGAGATTTCAACTTTCTTGAATCCATAACAGCTTTACTCCAAAAGTCTCATCGTAAGGTATCATACAAGTCTAGTTGAATATCAGCTCTAAGATGATCTTTAGAATTAAACATTCTTTCCATACAAGCAATTAACACTTCTTTTATCGCATTATCATTAGAAAAATTATCCTCAAAGCGAAATTGAGGGTATAAATAATAACCAGTTGCATGTAGTGGTTTACGACGTTGGACTTTCCATCGTGCGTCAATTTTCCTCCAAATAGGTCTATACTTCTTTTCATTATGCTCACAATTAAAGTAATTTTTTTTATGAATCCATGAACTCATAAATATAAGCCATGACAGGCCTTTCTTCTAAGTTAGCCTCTCTTAGAACATTTACAAGAGACACAACAAATTTAATACAATCAGTAAGATGACCCAAAAAGTGTGGATCGAACAAAATAACAACTCCAACTTTTATTCCTTCCGTCTTCTTTGCCCATTGACTAGAACACCAAGCTTCTAAGGAGAATATTGCCTGAAGTGGTTACTTATGCTTGTAAATGATTTAAAGGGTTAAATATATCGTAGCAAACTGTGTGATGGTTGGACGAACGAGTTCCCTCTCCTTTATAAAAGATCTCATCAAACTAAGAACCCATGTGTGCCCATAAAAGAATTTTACAACTTGTTTTGCTCTCTTGAATCTTCAACTTTCTAATATCTTCTAATATTAGGCCAATATAAGGTGTTGCACATGGTGTCCAATAAATTTGTTGCCCTTCCTCCATTATTTTTGGGCCTGCATTCACATAGTTTGACCAATTATCTGTTATAATTTGCACCACATTTTTTTCTCCTATTTCATCAATCACGTCATCAAAATAATTGAATAGTAACTCCACTGTTTAGAGCATTAGAAAAATACATAAATTTAAGAAAAATAGTTCCAGCTAGACTGCTCAAAAGAAAATTAATCAAAATTTTACTTTTTTCATGTGTTCAACTGTCTGATATAATCGAGCACCCATATTTACTCCATGCCTTCTTATGCTCCTCTAACGTCTTATTTATTATAGCCACCTCATCTTTGAATATCCAAGTTTTTAATTCATGCATTATAGGCGGAGAGAAATCAAGTCCAAAATTAGCAATTGCTTCAAACATAGACATGTACAGTGGAACATTGACAACATTAAACACCAATCCAGCTGAGTAGCATACTCTACCAATTACCCTACATGCTTCTTTTCTTTCATCTTTTTTCCAGTTAAAATTTAAATTATAATTCCTTTCTTGTGTTGTAGTGAAAGAATCCATTGGACCTCTAAGTTGTAACATTTTGATCTTAACCAATATTTGTTATAATGCTTCTAATATCATTTAATACACTGTCACATTGTGCTTTAACTTTTACATCTTCAAATGTTTTCTTGCATCTCTCTTGAACTTCAGTAGGGCCTTAGTATATGGTTTAACGCACTTGTTTGTGCTTGCAGGATGTTGCTTCATCTTGTTTATTGTTCCACTACACACTTGATAGAAAAACTTACATCTGAAATATTTTTTATCAGGTACGCTTGTTGTATATTGTCATACAATCCTCCCCTTTCATTAAAAGTTAATAACAAACCTAACACATTAACAAAAATATATCAGATCAAATCACCTCTAGCAAATTGCAAACACAAAAAAAAATTGCGGTTTATTGTAGCAAGAGTGATCTCTAGCAAAAATATAGTAGGTACAGTGAAATGATAAATAAAAGTCTCATAAAAACATAAAAAAACACAACACTATCAAATTTGTGACTACAGTGACCAAAAAATCACAAACCTCACTGACTACAGTGAAATGATAAACTAAAGACTCATATAATTGCCTTAATAAAAGCAAAAGAAATCACAAACCACACTGGCCACACCACTGTGAGAGAGACAATGCGGGTGCGGGAGAAGACGATGCAAATGAGCCTGATCCAAGCCTGCGTGCGAGACGAAGATCATCTGTGTGTGGGATGAAGACGACGCTGATGATGCGAGTGTGGGAATAAATCGCAGCTCAGTGCACAATTATTGTGCGGAGAAGAGGAAGGAAGAAGAAGGAAAAGTCGAAGGAAGAAGAAGTAGAATATGTCGAAGGATGAAATCTTCAAAGTCGAGTTCAAGCTCTGCATGCAATGGAGGAGGTAGAACTCTGCATGCGAGGATAGGTATTTAGAATTAGACATTTCTACCATTTTTATTTGATTAGGAGGCGCGTACGCCCCATGAAGTGTGTATTGCGCTCCGATTCTTCCCAGGCATAAGCGTTTATGAAAGAAGCATATGTATGTATGTCAGGAAAGTGCACGAATTAGTAATACAGTTATAATTTCTTTTATAAATGAAAAAAGCTACAGCAAAATAAAAATATATTTACCCATATGCCTAATGTAGTCTGAAGTTTTTTTCTGGAATCAATCTAATTATTTGGTGCACCTATAAAAATAATTTAGACTTAGCTTTTGTTATTATCTATTTTTTCTTTCATAGCAAATTTCTATCTTTGCAATTGTTATTATTTTAATTAAATATAATTCATTTATAGAAAGGAAATGAGTTGATATGAATTTTGTTCAAGTCAATAACGATATGTATACTAGAGTTGTTAAATGAGTTCGAACAGAAGGAAGATTGAACAAGTATTTTCCTAATTCAGTTAGATTACATGATGGATCAGCTTTAAGCCCATATCTTTTTGCATTAGTTATGGATGCTCTTATTAGACATTTACAGGAAGATATATCTTAGTGTATGCTTTTTGCTGATGATGTACCTTGATGTGGATAAGACTCGAGAAAGATTTGAGGAAAAAACTTGAATTACGGACGTCTACATTAGAGTCTAAAAGGCCTTCGTTTAAGTAAATCTAAAACTGAATCCATGAATGCAATTTTAGTAGAAGTAGATCCAATGGCAGAGTTGTAACAATGGGTTATTAAATCATTAAAAGGAGTAACCGGTTTAGATATCTCAGGTCCATTATTCAAAGTGATGGCGATATAGATGGGGATGTTATTAGTAGATTCAAGTTTATTGGTTGAAGTACAGAAATGCAACGGGCTTATTAGTGATAAAAAATACCACTTAGACGTAAACAAAAATTTTTTAAGACGATGGAGAGACCTGCAATGCTTTATGCGAAGAATGTTGGCCTACAAAAGAGAAGCATAAACTAAGTTAAGTGTTGTTGAGATGAGAATGCTTAGGTGGACACTTAGAGACGAAATGCAAAACAAATGTACCCGTGAAAGGGTTGGTATAGCTCTAGTGGCAGACAAGATTAGAGAAAGTCTTCTGATAATCTGATTAGAAGAGCAGATATGAGTTAGGAGATTAGATGTTTTGGATTTGACTTACGTTAAGAATGTTAACGGTAGACCTAAAAAGACTTTGACATATTGTATAAAAATGAACTTAATTTATTAGAATAAAATGAAATAATGTCACTCAATAGGACACAATGGAAAAAAAGGGATTCATGTGCCAGAAATATCCCTGTGTAACCTCTGTTATTAATTTTCCAGATGAAAGAGGATTTATATTTCTAGTACCAAATACAATATGCAAACATATTGATAAGATGTGCATCAAATATGGCCTTTAATTTTCAAATTTTAGTTGACATATTGATAAGATGTGCATCAAATATGGCCTTTAGAGGCATTTTCAAATTTTAGTTAAATTTTAGTTGGATTACAAAAAAATAAACAGTGCTTTTTTATTTTAATTCTCTTAAAAAATGAATCAATATGTTAGTCCAAAATCTAAAAACAAGTATACAAGTCCATGCGTGTAAGTTTTTGCATACTTTTATTAACAAGTTCAGCAATGGATTACCTGCATATCGCCCGCCTTACTGCAGGCGTTTATGAAAGAAGTATACGTATGTATGTCAGGAAGAACTCCATCAAGTTTCATTTGCTGAATCAAGTCAGCAGCTTCCCATACATCCCCTCTCCGAGCCCAACTACAGCAAAGAACAAACAAACAGAAAAAACACATTCAACGAAAATAATTTTCAAAAGCAGAAAAGAAAAGAAAGCGTATCTGAAGATAACTTGTTAGAGACAAATACAAGGCTAGTAAAATTGATGAGCTTTTTTAATCAGAATTTTTGGAAGCCAAAAGCTAATATTATCACATTATGCTAAAAATTAGATGTCAGGTGATAAAATCTAATAAGAAGACAATGTTCAAACTAATAACACTTAAACGATAAGGTAGACACTAATTTAAGTAGTATGAGTTACTAAAGTATCACAACACTTAAACTGTTTATTGTATTAGCAAGAATTTCATGTTCAAAATTAATAATGATACAATTCAAAATACTATAATGATCGACAATCCCAAATTTAAAGGTATCATGCAGGGATCACTAGCCCGAGAATCTAAATCTAATATAAAAAAGAATGCGAGTAGATGCATATGCATAAAAATCAGAAACATTAACATTATTGAAATCCAAATAATTAATTAATTATCAAACTAAGTGGTCCTAACCCATCGATCAATATGTTATATATAAAGGTGTTCCGTGGAATCCTTTGAGTGGTCATTTCCCGGGTTACTGCCAAAGCACTCTGCATCCGGCCCGATTTACAGCATGCCTTTAGTAATGACTCATAAGTAAATACATCAAGTTTCAGACCAGCCTCCTTAATTTTAGTGAAATATTCAAAAGCTTTGCCAGTATCACCATCAGTAGCATATCCTTCCATAATCGTTGTGTAAGAATGCTCATTTGGAGACACGCCAGCTTGAATCATTTTGTCAATTACTTCAACTGCCTTCTGCATCTATTACAAATAAAGTCAATTAGTGTATAAGATTAGAGTAAAAGAGACTATGATAACATGACGAATATGATGTAAAAAATATTTTCAGATAAGATAATTTTTTCCTTTTTTTTTTTTTTTGGATTTTATCAAAGTAGATGAAATCTTCATTAGCCCAATTTCTTCATAAAATCTAATGTATTTATGAGGCAAGGGCATCCTTTGCCTTGCTACTTATTTGCAATCAGCTGAACAGCCCCTACACCATTCCCAAGTGGTCTAAGAGTATGCACCGACCTGATGCTTGCGAGCTAGACCAAGAATAAGGACATTATATGTTTCAACAGTTGGGATGCAACCATGTCGTCTCATTAGATCAAAAATATCTGAGGCTCTTTTCGTATCTCCAGCTACTGCAAAACCATATATGATAGGCCTGAATGACCGTGATGAAGGTTTGTGCCTTTCCTTCTGCATTTCATCAATAAGACAAATAGCCCGCTCTAGATAACCCATCTTGCAGAATGCATTGATGATAATGTTGTAAACAACAGCATCAGGTTTCAAGCCAGATTTCAGCATCTCCTCAAAAATAACGAAAGCATTAGCATAATCATCTAGTTTTATAAAGCCATTGATCAACATTGAATATGTTTTGCTGTTATGCTTAATACCACATGACTCCATTATTTTACTAACTTCAACGGCCTTTGACATCTTTCCCATCTGAAAGAGAGAACAAACAAACTATTATTTAAAGAAAACAATTTATTGTTATAAAGATATACCAAGTCATGTGAACATAAACTGTTATGCACATCCAGCGCAAGCTAACTTTCTTTTCTCTTACAACCTAATAAAGTATAAAAAATAGAAGAGCTACAGTAAATTTTATACTATAAGGATGGAATAACTCTCTACATACAGTCATTTCGTCCTACAAGTTAAATCAAAATTTCAAAGACAAGTGGGTTAACCGCACGGATAAAAGAAAAACTGATTTGCTGACCACAAAGAGCATACACCAAGTCAAGATCCAATGGTTGGTGGAAAGAACCCAATCCTTTTCAAAGAATTTTACATTCACGAGGAATAGATCTCTCCTCTTGCTAAAGATCTAGAGTATAAATAAGACAAACCCTTCTTTCAACAAATTCAAAGAGTAATTTATAGATGAACAGGGTGAACCAAACTGTCAAGGGTCTAATGACCATTGATGGACGTTGCTGAAAAACACTCTGCATTCAATTTTCTCTAAATCCATTTGTAAAGCTATTTGATTTGCTTTATTGAACGAAGCATTCGTTAAATCTTGCTAAAGACGATCTTTAATATAAATACTTGTCTTCCAAGTTGTTGCTTATAGTGCGGGTTGTCAAAAAAGCTCTTCGTTTATGAATAGTTTGGGTTTGGCTCGTTCAACAACTCGTGTTCGGCTCATTTGTTAGGTCCAACGAGCTGAACATGAACAAACATTTAAGCCCAAAATGTAAATCAGCCAAACATGAACAAATGTTTGTTCGATTGTGTTTTACTCAAATTGCCCAAAATGACTCATATATATATATATATATATAAAGCCCGAGGGCTGATATATTAAAGAAAACGAAATAGATAGCCCAACCCACACGTTACAACACACACCAAAAAATGTAAAAGATGTGTACATATAGAAATCAAAAAACACAAAAACCACCCGGGCGCTGAAAAAGTGTGGGTCATCTCAATCTAGTCTTGCATCTGACTCTAGTTCTCGGTAGGGATCCAGCTAGCAGATTGGTAAGGTGTTGACCATTACCCGTAGTAACCAAAGTATCATCCATAAGACTCATGAGCTCTAGTAGATCTCCATTCTTCTTCTTCCTCCTGGAAGTGTATACCTGTCATTCCTCCTCCAAAGAATCAGCCTAATGGGGGAGATCTGAAGCAGAAAGAATACCAACAGTAATACCCACAATAGGTTCTAGAATATGTGAAGCATGAGTTGCCTCTACACCGGATACTTCTTGAAGAAGTGGAGCTGTGAGACTCTCCTGATTATCAGTCAGAACACTATCATTTATAGGTAATGGTTCATCAATATTGTTTTCTATGGAGTTTGTAGGTGTCGTAGGTGTCAGCATCGCACCACTCTCAGTAACAGTAACAGCAGTGTCATTGGGGGGTCCTTAGGGGCAGCAGACATCTCTTGTCTGGTAGTATCCTCCTCAGGTGGAACTAAAATGTCCACATCAGTGGAATTAAACCCCTTCTTATTCACTTGAACCTTAGATTTTAAAATAGAATGAAGCTTATGACATTTAGCAAGGATATGACCAAACATCTTACAGTGGGTACAATATGGGAGTTTGTGTTCCATGATGATTTGTTGCCAATAACTATTATCGGTTGTACCCAGCCAGACTTCAGTAACATCAGGTAAAGCAATAGCCCTTTCCACAAGTATTCTGGCTACCGAGGGTTTGGTTAGGTTGAAAGTAGGAAGATCTAGTTTCAAAGGATCCCCAAGGATGACTCCAATATAATAGAGAACCTGATGGTGAAAAAAATGCAGCTTGAGACCAGGTAAACTAAACCATACCGGTATAGTGGGAGTTTCATGCTTTGGGTTAAAATTAGGAGATCACTTGAGTAACTTCATTGATTTGCCTTTGATATTAAGATATTTCTTGGAGAAAATTCTAGTGTACTCTTCATACACTGTTAGTTAGATCAACACATGTTTTCATCCATGAGCCACTTTCCATTTGCGTACTAGCTTAAGATCATCAACACTCTTTTTGATAACATCCATAAGAGAGTGTCCCCATTGAAATTTGCCAACAAGAGCAAACTTGAATTTTTCCGTTAGGGTAAAAATTTCTGATTTAGAGAAAAAAATTGCTTCGAAATTTCTGATTCAGAGAAAAAAATTATTTTTTTCCTCCTTTCCTACTTCACTTTTTAATAAAAGGACAATCATCTGTATTCTCACGACATTCCTTATAACTTGAGGAGAATACCACTGCGGACTCCTCCTAAGGGTTACCCACCACGCTAGCAAATGAAAATTTATCCGGCTCAACCAAAGAAGAAGGAAACACCCTCAGAGGTTGTCGGCGTTAAACTGCTACAAGGTTGCTGAAAGGCAAGCAGAGGAGCTGTCGGGCACAGAAGCAAGAGCAACGCCGAAATAGAAGAATCAGGCACAGACGACAGCTGCGAGCGACAGAGGCGTGGAAGACGATGACGTCGAGCAGAGTAGGTGTGAACACCGACGTCGAGCAGAGTAGGTGCGAACGTCGACGCCGAGCAGAGGAACGATAGCGACAGAGGAAGACAAAGACGCGAGCAGCAACAGGAAGTGCGAACGTCAACGTCGACGTAGATGCAGACGTCGGAGCAAGGGTAAACGATGCGAGATCTTCTCCTTCCAGCGGTAGAATCAATTGCCACCAAAATCGCCATTGGAAGCCCTAGAGGAGCTCTTGACCGTAGCCGACATCGTGATATATTGTATATGTATGACTCGTGT